TCGTTTTCACTTCAACTTGGCGGTTTAGTTAGTGTTTTACTGTATAAGAATTTTCGGTAGTAAATAGTGAAATATTTTTAGAAAAAATTGACAATAATTGATGCTGGAAACAACAAAATCACGAATCTGGATGGACTCAATCATTTGGAAGAACTGACAGATTTATGGGTACATTTACAATTATTTTTACACATTTTTCAAAAACTTCCTCTAACTTTTAAATCATCGATCAGCACGATCTGGGTTGGGATTTTGTGCTTTTGAAGTTAATGGATTGCTTTCATTTACCAGGCGCACTTATGCCAGTTCCTTCCACTCTGAGCCACTTAATTCCACTTAGCACCCCTGCCTGTTCAGTGCATATGCTGTTTTTCTCTGAAGCCTTTTGAATGGCTGTTCTTTTTCTGCGAATAACACTCACTGTCACTCGACTTGGCTGTCAGCAAGGCTTGGAGCATGTTCTTCGGATTTTGCTTTCTTACGCGATTGCAGTCTCATCTTATTCACAGCTTATCCAACGATGCGTCTTTTTATGCGTCTTGTGCAGTGTAACAGCAGTACAAAACGCATATTGTCACGGGGTTGTCTCTGTGTGTTTGTGTGTGTGTGTATGTATGTATGTATGTGTGTGTATGTGTATGTATGTATTCGCAGCAATTTGTCCGCAGCTTTCAACTCAGGAACCACAGAAGATAGAAAACTGAAAATTTACGGGAACGTCCCCTATCCACGTGTGATCCCGCAAATTTAAATTCAGCCTCCCCGTACCTGCAGGTAACAAGTACGGTCCCGTAAAAGTTTGGGCGGGTAAATTATTATCACAGGAAGCGTGGAAGTTAGAAGGCTGAAATTTTGTGGGCGTGTCTCTCACCCATGTGCTACCTAACAATTTTAAATTCAGCTTCCCCTGCTGCGAGTAACACGAAAGGTCCCGTGAAAATTTTAGCGGGGAAATTATTATCTCGGGAATCACAAAATGTAAGAAGCTGAAATTTTAGGGTAATGACCACTTTTTCTCGTATGACCTTGAAAATTCAAATTTAACGTTCCTGCACTCTCGGGTATCGCTTACGGCTCCGTGAAAATTTTGGCGAATAAATTATTACCTCGGTGACCATGGAATCTAGGAGGCTGAAATTTTGGACAGTGATCCCCTTCCCACGCACGACCTTGCAAATTCAAATGCAGCATTCTCGCACTCTCGGGTACCAGCTGCGGCCTCATGAAGATTTCAGCGGGGAAATTATTATCTTAGGAACCATAAAAGCTAAGAAACTGCAGTTCTGCGGTAGTGCTGGTGTGTGAGATTTATGTGTCGATGCATGAAATTTTTAACTATTTTTCAACGTTTCAATTATTTTTGCATAGACCAAAGTACTACTAAGAGCAGTTAAAAGCATTAACAGGCAATCGTTTGGTGGACGAAATGCACAAAACGCGTGGTCGCGCCGGCCAGTCTGGTGCGCGTTGCTATTTATTATTTTTTTTAATGCTCTAATTAGATTGGCTAGCGCGGAAAAGACTGTATTTTTGTGAAGTTCCTGTCTTCTGTTAGCTCACCAGTTTGCGTTAAATGGCATATTCGCGATGTGCCCTTTGCGATTTGTTATAATTATGAACAATATTAGTTAGAAATAAGGCTATTTCTAACTAATATTGTTCATAATTATTTCTAACTAATATTGTTCATAATTATTTCTAACTAACAATATTAGTTAGAAATAATTATGAACAATATTAGTTAGAAATAAGGCTTTCCTAAAGGTACTTACTGAGATTGAATGTTCCTCGTTGCCGGTCAGTTATTCCCGTTGTTTCAGATGAACAACAATGAGGTGTCGGACTGGAATGAGCTGTTAAAGC